GGCAAGCGGATGGCGATAAGAGGAGCAGCACAGCACCAACAATAACAGTTCCGGTGAAGCTATAGTCCAGGCAATGGCCTCGTTGATAAGACCAGAAAAACGCAACAAGGACAACTGCAACTACAACTACAAATACAACTGCAAACTGCCTGTGAAAACATTCGGACTGGCGCCTTTTTAATTTATATATATCCACTATATCTGCATTCGAATGCATGGCGAGAGCAGAGGCGAAAGCAAACAAATATATGTGCCACACATTCAGGATATATCTCTTGCCATAAGTCTTGGCAACTTGATGTGAAAACAAAAAAAAAGCTGACAGTAGACAGAGAATATATGGCGAATGGGCAGGGGTCAGCGATGAAAGATTCCTTAAACAATGCCTCAAAAATAAAGAGATTTTTTAGTGGTCAACAATAAATACTAGAAATACCAGAAAAATAGAAGAAGATCATTAAGTTACATTTTCATGATTTATTATACAAACAAATAGCTAAACTTGTTTAATCTTTCATTGTATTTACAATATTTAAGTTAGGAACTGTCAACACTCTGTTTGCGAAACAAGTTGTAAAGCCTCAGTTGGAGGAGATGTAGCAGGATTTCTGTATTGTCGTCATATAATCTATTTGTATCTACATTCCCATATCCTCGGCAGCATTAGCATTTTCCTTTTCTAGCACACAAGATCAAGGATCAACTGCTTACGACACTTGACAGCCAGCGGGAACCGCAAAAAAGCAGCTTAGAGCTGAAAAGGGGGGTTGGGAAGCCGCTGAGAAACTGTCAGCGACAACCCTGCACCACCGTGCACCACTCTAGGCAACCCTACACCACCCCCAACCCCATAAACCAGCGACTTTCTCCAGTAGCCACTTGATGACTGCCAGCAAGTTGACACTAATCAGTTTAGCTTTAGCCCGACGTAGACAACTTGATTTGCATACACAAATGTGCAGGGGCGGCGTCTGAAAAGGGGGTGGCGAAAAAGGGCTGGTGGGAAAACCACTTAAGCGGGCAACTAGCCCCACCTAAACAGGCCGTCAGTCAGCGAGTCAGCTGCAAAAAACGAAGAAGAGGAAGGTGGAGGAGACAGCGCACTTAACCCCCTTTTTCGGCCCCTTCTTAACCCACCCTTGGCTCCTTTTTACCCCTTTTTTGCCGCCCCACAAAATGGCAGCCAAAACAGGAAGTAATCTATACTCGCTCCGCCATTGTTTATTGTTTAATTTTTAGTCAACGTTGTTGCTGTTGCTCAACTTTTGACTCCGGCCAAGTCTCCGTTCTGGTTATGCCTGCTTCCTGTTCGTCCTTCTGACACCCACCCCCCGTTTTCTTCTTCTTGTATTATTTCTATTGTTAACAGTTTTTGCATTTGCCGCTGCAAGTAGCGAAAACTTTTCACAATGGACCTTTGTTCCTTCCCCTTTTTTTCGCCTCCCCCACCACCCCTTTATAGCACCCACCCACCTTAACTGCCCTGCCTTTCAACGATGCCACTTGAGCACTACAAAGCCAAAAAGAAGGAAAGAAAAAAAGAATAAGAAAAGAGGACACCGAAGGGAAGAGAGAGCACAACGGAGCAGACAAAGACGGCCCAAAATGCCAAAGACGAAGACGTTGACAACGGCGGCGGCGGCTGCCTTGCACCCCAAACAGCCCCACCCACAAAAGAAACGCCCCCCTGAAGTCATGACACGCCCGTATCGCATTTACTTGGATTTCGCTTTATCGGAGGAGCAGCAAGGAAAACAGCAACCCGTCGACGAGGACGACGACGACAACAACGTCACCCAGTTTCCATGGCATCATCATCATCTGGTTTTTTCCGCTTCCCTACACCGAAAACAAATAGGTGGCCTATCTAGGGGGTAATTAAGGATGATAAAAATGACTAGTTGGCACCTACGATTTATTACCAAATTTCGGTTTTTGATTTTACATTTTTAAATGCAACCATATTCGATATATACTCAACATCCAAAAAAAGTAAGGCACTCTTTTATAGTATTATTAGATTATATGACGTCTTTCTATAAGGTAAAATTAAGTATACTAACTGCCTGCTTTTGCTGCATATTTTAAGCAACACAGACCTTTAACTAATATTTATTTATCCCAAAGGTTATAAATATTTTAAAAGTTTAATTAAAAATTTTTCTTTGTGTACGCTCGGATATTCTTCTTATTTTGCAGACTGATATTTTCCTCTTTTACCGATTTTCTTGAGCCAAGGCAAATGCATTATAATTGAGTTGCGGTGCTGGCAACGTTTTACAGCAATCGTCCCAATAGAATAGCAATTCTTAAAGGCTTTCCACACTTTGCAACTTTAATTTCGTATTTGTTTTCAGTAGTAAGGAAAATGGGTAAACTAATCCCTCCACTTAATTAATGCAGTGAAAATCAGTTAATTTACGGGGTTCACAAAATGATCGGATAACTGTCAGCGAAACCCGTTCATTAACTTAATAGTTACTTTTTTTTGTAATCGATACCCACACATTTTACACTTTGTCACATTTAATGACCATTGATGGTGACACATTCTTTAGCACTTTTTTTTTATTAGCCCATCATTAAAAATTCTCTTGTCATATTTAAGAGAGACCCAATAAAATATAGCCCACTGCATAAGTTTTTATAGTTTTCCCCGCATTTCATTTAATTTTAAGGGACTTCTGCAAGGGCATTTTAAGACTTCGGCCAGCCGAAGAATACTTTTTGCATTGGCAGCTTGAAAATAAATACATATAATACAATACAGTTAACGCAAGAACCGAACATATAATTAAAATACGGAAAAACGAGAAAAAAACTCAAAAACCTGATGGAATAATTTGCATTATAAATTGTTTGTAAAGAATTTTCTGTTCTTCCTTAATTTTTTGTTTTGCTTTTTAGTAAACTTTCATATATTTTTTGTTATTCTTTTTTAATGAAGAATTTGTTGATTTGTGTTGGAGCGGATGGATGTATGCGTGTGTTTGTGTGTGATTGGGTGAGTTTTGTTGTATTTGGAAAACATATAAACAAATGGTTTAGACGCAGACAATTAGGACATTTAGGGATACGTTTGGGGGTTTTGTAGGGATGTTTTTTTTTTTGCTTTTCTTTGTTTTTATTTTTTTGAGTGATAACATATAAGGATATACAGATATTTTCTTTCGTTTTACTTGCATTTTTATTAGCTTTGATTGGTTCTTTCTTTGTCTTTGTTCTGCTGCTGACCTTTGGGTTTTCATTTTATTTTATTTGGATGGGAAACCTAACGAGTTTCTGTTTTTTGTATACTTAATTCCTTCGTTTGGTTAACAAAACATCAACAGAGATTATAAATCGATACGGAAACTCAAAAGTGATTCACATTTGATGAGATTTGTTTACCATAAAAAGCTTTGATCAAAAACCAACTGAAAACAACGAAAGGCGTAAAGAGATCAAGAGATTGAGAGAGATGAGGGAGGAAATCGGTGGAGTTTCGTTGATGGAAGATGGAAAATCAAAAATTAAAAATTTGGACAAAATAACGATCGGGGTCGAACTGTTGTGGTGAGAGACATATATAGAAAAAGTGAGAGAACGTGATGGAGAAATCAACCAAAACTCTGCTCGAAATGCTCACATGCCAAACTATGAGAAAAGTAGAGTAGAGGGAAAATCATAACAAAACATACTTCGATGACTTTCGGTTTGGATAAATGGTTAGTAAATGGGTTAGTATGAGTGTTAATATTGCTGGTTGATTGGCAAAAGGAAAAACACAAATCGGAAATCAGAAATCAAACTAAATACACATATAGACACGGTACACATAACACATACAATTATTTATCTATATATATATGTGGATATATATATCGAGATATCGAGATGCTTTCATCTTGCCCTATAAAGTATGCCAACGAAAAACGATGAAAATTAATATGGAAATAAATATGGAAAACATACTCATGATATGCATGTGTTTATTTTTTATCTTTCTTTTTTTTTTCTTTTTTTGCGAGTGTGCGTGCTGGTGTATTGGTGAGATAAAAAAATTATGAATGCATTTTTTCCGTCGTTAATTTTTTTTATTCATTTTTTTTATTCATTTTTTTTGTTGTCTTCACTCCTCGTTGTTGTCGTGTTTTATTTACATGAATGATTTGTTGACTTTTCGATCTCTGTGTTTTTGCGGTTCTCAGTTTTTGTGTGTGTGTGTCGAAATGTAATTTAAAATCAACAAAATGGCATTATATGCAGGGGCGGTGCGAAGGGGGTAGGTGCGCTGTTACAATTATAATGCAATTACAGCCGAGGGGCATTTAATGTTGATCAACGAATCGGGAAAAAAATTCAAAAGTCAATTGCAGGCCTTTCACATATGATATTTTTTCGGCTATTTGAAAGCTGTTTTTTAAAGATATTCGATAAGTTACGAGAGAAAAACTTGATTCTATTGAATTATTTTAAAAATTAATGGAAAGCTGAGCTAAAAAACAGGGTCCTTAAATTTTTTCTTCATCAAATTGTTTTTTATTTAATTTATTTTAAAATTAACTTGAATCGCCAAGGAAATTTAGGACCTTTTTTAATACTAATTAAAATTCCCTTTAAAAATCGATGAACAATTTTCTATGTTCAGCTGCAACTGAGTTAAGATTAGGAAGATAGGGGTGGATGATCGGAGAAGGGCTGATGTTAGATGCCACCTACGTTTGTGAACCAAAAAAAGTCTCGTGTGCGTGATTTTATGGATGCATTTTACGGAATAAGAACCGAAAAATAGAACAAACAAAAATCGATGCATTCTGTGGATGGATAAGTGGATTCGATGGATCAATGGATCGATTGGATGCTTGGATGAGGGGAACTTAAAATTCAGAATCAACTGAAGAAGATGCGACTGTAACAAAGATTTTTTTGTATTTTCTTTTTTTTCTGGTTTGGAGTACCCAAAAATTGTACGTCTGTGTTTCCTTTTTTCAAGTGTTTTTTTTTTATTTTCGACTTACCAAGGTGTGAACGAGCTCCAGAAGAGACTACAAATTCACGGGTTGAAACGTAGGATTTTTTTATTTTGTGATTTTTTTTTTATTTTGATTTGCATATTGGAAATGCATTTTGATTTGGTGTTGAAATTTGATTTGGATTTGATTTTTTGGTTTTTGGTTTTGGTTTAGCACACAACATGAAGGTATCGAGCCACAGCAACAGAGTAGGACAGTACACAATTAATTGACAGGACAATAAAAAAGAAATCAAAAGACAAAAATGCGTTTCGTTAACGAATTGATCAAACTTTGATATTGCTTAACAATTGGTAATAATTTGTTTTTGGTTTTTTTTTTGGTTTGGTTTTACTTTTAGCATACCTAAAGGTGGAGATTTGTACTTTCATAGCTTAGTGAACCAAAGAGAAACGAAACGGAAATTGAAACGAAACGAAAACGACACGCTGAGAAAATAACGGAAAAGAACACATTTGACGAACACACTTAGTCGGATGATGAGACGAAGACGAAGACAGAGACGGAGACGGAGACGGAGACGGAGACGGAGATCGGCAGACATCTTCGGGGTTTGACTGACATATCATCTTGGTTGGTTTTAGTATGGTTAGTTGGTTAAATGCGAAACGGAACGTAAGGGAACAGAAGGAAACGGAACGAAATTAAATCGAAACGATTGGGGGAACGGGGAAATTGGAAACGGAATCGGAAACGATAACGAAAGAGGAACTCAAAATCAATTTCGCTCATCGGTCATCCTCATTTATCGGGAATCCTCTCCTCTTGGTCTTGGCATCGGCGTAGATCTCTTTTTCTTTTTTTTTTTTGTTGGGGTCTTTAAATTAGAATCAAAATCATAGCAACAACTCAAGAGACACGCTATATACGGTTTATATATAGATACAATGACAGACTATACTTCGCTTAAAAAAACCAAACGAAAGCAAATCAAATGTAAAGTTAACTATCGATAATGTAACTAGGTCTGGTCTTAGTTTTACACTCGATCTGATCGATTACTTACTCATCGATGGAGGCCTAACAACGTTTGGGAGATCATTTTTATATCATTTGTTTGGTTATTTTTTATATTTTGTATTTTTTTTTTTTTTTTTTTTGGGGTAAGACGAACACAAGGAGGTTTACACTAGACAACACACATACTCAATGAAGTGCTATCATTATATTTTCGCTTTTCTCGTAATGTTCTCTTCAAAAAGTTCTGATTTTTCTTGCTCCATGTAGAGTTCGAGAGAATGAGAGAGAAATGAGGCGGCAAGAAAGGAATGGAAATTAAATGGAAAGCAAACGGGGCGAAGGATCGAGGATCCCCGGACCCCAAAACACAAGAGAATCAACTGAAGATGGTAAGTAATTGGTTTTTATTTTTTGAGAAAACTATGGAATTTTATATTATTTTCGGGTTTCTTTTTTTCTCGCTGGAAGTAGTCATCACCAGCGTTCGATTCTTCTCATTGGCTTGGCATTTCCCAGGCGGGCAAGAAAAGAAAAAGCTCAAACTAGGAAAATGTCATTTCGTTTTCCTCTTTTTTCTTTTTTTTTTGTTGTGGCAGAAATTAGGAGTAATTAATGGACTAACCAAAAAATCGTATAACCAAAAAAATCGAAAACGAAATCGAAATGGAAACGGAACGGTGGGGAAGAGAACTCAGAGGAACGAGAGAAAAGAAAACTTTGAAAATTCAACATTTTGACTTGAGATTCTCACATTCTCATCTCAATATTCTTTCTTTTTTTTCTTTTTTGGTTTTCAGCGCATAAATGATAGACTCATTGAGGGGAGAGAGGCGTTCGGGATTGTGGGAATGTGAATGGGTTTAGATTTTCATTTCTTTTGCTTCTTCTTGATTTTTCTTTTTTTTCGACTGATTGATTGATTGAGACTACTGGCAGTGTGTTTAGTTGAAGTTGGTATAAAACATAAACAGATTCTTTTTTTTTCTTATTTTGTTTCTAAAGCATAACGTAAAAATATGGCATATATGTGTATATATAGGTGGTCAGATAAGCCAGTTGATCGGGCGATCTGGTGTTATATACACATATATACGCTTCATATAGAATAAATTTGAGCTTTTTCCCTTCATTGCACCCGTAAAGCTTAAAGAATACACACAGAACCGAAAACGGAAAAAGTTCAAAAGCAATTCCAATGAAAAATTTCTCAATCGCAGACCAAAACGTCCCCGTATATGGGCTTTTTTCTATTTTTTTTTATATACGTGTGACGTTTGCCGCCTGCAACTCAAAAACTCAGAACTCAAAAGATCGAACTGGTAACGAAAAAGATTTGAACTCAGGAAGGAAACTCAAGAGTCGCTCAATGGCAAGCCCTCTCATTATATATAATAATATATATAATATATATATATGGTCACTTTGAAATCCCTGCGCACTAAGAGTCAGACGCATACGTATATGTATATATATAGGCTATGTAGATACAAGGGGCGCTACGAGTTGGTTCTAAGTCTTAGTTCTAGGGCGAATCACTTACTTCTCGCTGTACTCGTCCATGTGGGCGTACGACTGCACGGAGTTCTCTTCGATCAGGAACTTGACCCTCTGGTAGAAGGAGGCCGTCACCGAGGGCGGTTGCTTGCGGAGGAGCACCTCCACGGGATCGTTGGACGACAGGCACATTATGTGCTCCGAGCAGGCGGGATGTGAGCAGCACTCGCTGTCCGAGCAATCGGTCATGCCGTCTGAGGAAATGTTATAAAAATACTTTGAGTTTTGATATCACTTAAAAGTTGTGCCCAAGATTATGCAAAAATATATAATAATTTGTATTGCATACTTTTAGACACCTTCATAATAATTTCCGATTTTTCTTATATGACATATGCTTATATTCCATTAATATTCCCTACTTACCGCCATCATTGTCGATATTATCCTTGCAATTAAGTTCCAGTGCGATGGAGCAATCGCTGCCAGCCCATCCTTCAATGCAATCGCAGCGGTATTCGCCATTTTCCAGGGTACATTGTCCATGTCGAGAGCATCCATTTTCGCAGCCAGCTGGGGGTATTCAAATGGCTTCATTAACTACATGTTTTAGACAATTAAATAATCTATATATATAAAAATTATATAAAAACAAGAGAGAACGCTATAGTCGGGTTGTTGTCCCGACTATCTAATACCCGTCACTCAGCTAAAGGGAGTGCGAACGCTGTGTCGGGTTGGTGTCCCGACTAATAATCGTAACTCAGCTAAAGGGAGTGCGAGGGAGATAGATATATAATTTTTGATTGCGTATAACTTTTTAATGAATGGTCCGATTTGAAAAATGTCTTCTACATTTCGATAGGTATAAATATACACAACAAAATTGCATTTTTACTTTTCGGAAATCTTTAAAGATGTGGGCGCAGGACCCTTTTTAAAATCGTTAGTGGGCGATTGTGGGCGTTAGAGGGGGCGTGGCGCTCGGCTAAAATAAACTTGCGCTGCGTAGGAAGCCAAAGAATATGTGTGGGAAATCTCAACCTTCTAGCTTTTGTAGTTTCTGGGATCTCAGCGTTCATACAGACAGACAGACGGACAGACAGACGGACAGACGGACAGACGGACAGACGGACAGACGGACATGGCTAGATCGACTCGGCTGGTGATCCTGATCAAGAATATATATAGTTTATAGGGTCGGAAACGCTTCCTTTTACCTGTTACATACTTTTGCACGAATCTAGTATACCCTTTTACTCTACGAGTAACGGGTATAATTATACTAGTAGTGAACTTATGATTTTGAACCTGCTCCTTATCGACTTTACATCCCATCTATTTGACTTTTGTTCGCCGTTTTATTTAACTGGCTGGGATTCTTGTGCCAAATGGTTCGCTGTAATTAAGAGTAAACTGTCCGGATCGAGTGGCGCTTCAAATTGAATGATAACACCCTGCCCATCGCCGTTTCCACGGGTATTTCGTATTTCCATTTAAAAACGCCAGCCTCAACCCCGTTTCGTTGCCTCCTTCAGCGAGTCAACATCATGAATATAAAAATAATGTTGATGTTTGCTCTCACTCTCAGTGGCAGTTAACCTTTGGCAGAACACTCGGCGAAATGTTGGGCAAACATAAAAACCCAACGAAACGTAACCTAACGATAGATGATTTGGCCCCATTTTTACGTTTTTTTTTTTCCTTGCCGCTGCCTTTATTTGTTTGTGCCACGACAGCATTTGACGCAAAGTTAATGTCACTTGACATGTGTCATTTGCGAAATGGGGTAAGGTAGCACCACCCCCATCCCCCGCTCTTTTTTTTTGGCCCTTACACACCATTTCGATGGTAAAAACAGGGGTGGGGAGGGGAAGAAGGGGGGCTGCTAACTCAGCTTCCGGCATGTTAAAAAGTTTGCGGCGCATAAAATGACTTCCCTGCTTGTTACTGCCTTCCTGTTTACGAGGAGTCGCCCCTCTCTTTCCACCCCCCCATCGTGCCGTCTCTTTCGTTGAGTGCGTGTTTGTGTGCACATATTGGCAATAACTTCAAGTGGCCTTGCAAATATTGAACTCTCGCGGGGGAGGAAGGGGGAATATGTCAAATCTGTTGACTGGATTAGAGACCTCGAACATCGAACCTCGAACCTCGGAGAACTATAAAACGCCCAGCGAAATGGCCAAGTTTACTGCATACAAAGTGGGTTTCAGTAGTCCAAACAAAGAAGCATTAAGGAAGATAATGTTGTACTTAAAAAAAAAACAATTGTATCAAAATAATAATATATTTAAATGAAATCATATGTCAAATCATTTAAGGAAATATTTGTTTAACTTAAAAGGGCTTTTCCGCATGTTTATTGTTTTCACAATCCGAACTAAACCGAAAGGCGAATTCATTTTAAACCTCTCATATTTTGCCATTCATATTCCCATTACGCATTTTTTAAGTTCAAGTTTGCTAGCCATACTATTTCCACTTTTATTTGTATTTAACACAGCCATGTCTGCAGGTTTTTCACCTACCATTTCGACGACCCGACCCTCCCCTTTGGCTTTTCCACCCTCAGCGTAGCTTATTTCTCCTCTATTTTATCACTTTCGGCGTACAAATCCCTCGTTTTTTATGCCTGGCCATTCAAAAAATTGTTGTAATCTCCCCAAACACACTTCTGCACATATTTTACAATCCATAATAAAATCCCAGCTAGCATAAAAAAAATGAAAAAAAAGAAAGGTTAGCGATGGGGAAAACATTGTAAATATTTGAATGAGACGGCGGCGGGTGATAGAAAAAGGGGAATAGAAATGGATGTCGGGGTTCGGGCAACTAAATGTAACTACGACATAAAGTATGCATGTGGCTTTCGGGTGTCTGTGCCCCTAGAAAACTCTCCTAGAAACCCCCCCAGAAACCCACCGAAAACCCCCTGAAGAGGGCCAATTGAGTAGAGTTTTCGGTGGCGCGTAATTCGCTGGAAATCTCTGTTTCGAATTCAATCAACTCTGCCGCATTCAAGTCGCCGCCTGACTGCAGTTCGGCTGAAAGGTCTAATCTGTGCCGAGATCCCCCTTTGGATGCGCCCCGCCCATGGGCAGCACCACCCTGCATTCGTCTAAGCAAAGTTGGGCTGTCAATTTAGCCAATTTCTAGCTAGAACCTATATTTTCATAAGACTATAAATAAATCTACAGAAATAACTAAGCTTTTGAAATAACTAAAGTAATCAAAAGTATACAACAATATATATCGCTTCAAAAATATACGTCCTGTTTTCATTTCATAACTTAAGATACCTTAAAAATCAAAATGAATTTTTATTTTCATGCTCAAGTCATTAACAAATATTATACTAGAAAAAGAAACACTTTTAAAAAAAAATAAATATATGCTTAAATATTTCTAAAGACCCAACTATTTCGCCTTCGGAAAAAAAAATAAATGGCAGCACTGAGGCAAAGTCGTTAAGTACTTTCTAAAAATACAAAACCCAAAGCCAGACACAGATACCATATAGTATGGCCCCCCCTTTTCACTTGAATCGATTGAAAGAGTGTTTCCCAGGGGACAAAGACGCAGAGAGAGGGGCGCAACCGAAAAGGGGGCGAAGATTGCTTGTGACTCTGAATGACGTCGGAAGTTTTATTGGTTTTGCACACGTCAACGAAATGCTGATCGCGGGCAAGGGGTGGTTTTAACCCCCTCTTCTGTTTTCCGATATCCAAAGGGGGTTCGTAATGCCATTACATGCATGCCTGGGCCGCCGCCAGGGGGCGCCACACGTTTCAATGTTTTTGTAACATGACTGTTTGTTTTTAAAGTTTTAATCACTGTCAATCGATAGCTACTTATCATGCTGCAGTGCCAGCCTTTCGTCCCCGGGAAAGGAAATCGGGAAACGGGAAAAGTCGTATCCTGCTTCTGCTCCTTTTCATTGATGTTGTTTTTTGGTTGCGTTGCCTCAAACAACATGGTTAAGTCATGGCGGCAAAACTGTCAAACGCACTTCCAGCCCGCCAACAAAAAAGGAGGAGGAAAATCGCAAAAGTAGGGGGGTGGGGGAAATTCCCTAAAGAGGGGGCGCCGGAAAATCAAAGGGTTTGGCATGGAGCAAAACTGAAGTGGAGAGCAAATGGCGTAAACATGTACAAAATACTTTGGTGCATCGACTCTAGCCGGCAAGAAAAAAACCCGAAAAAAGGAATTGATAAAAAGCACGACAGGCTACGTTGGCAAAAAAGAAATGTAACAGAAAAAAAGAGAACTTAAAAACAGCCACGACAGCAGCTACATTGACAGTGGGCGGGGGCGGTACCGAGGGCGTGGCAACTGCAGTAAACACCGCAATGTTGCTGTTGTAAAGTAACTGGCGGTATTGCCTAGATATCGACTACTGCCAAAAATGCAAGTTCAAGTTTTATCTACAGGGTCTTTGCTATTTTTTTAATAGCGCAAGAAAGAAATATTTACTAAGTAGCTTTAAAAAATATGATGCTTTAAAAAAATGGCGCCCACCGTGGGGCATTTTTAAAAAGTTACTTATTAATATTTCATATTTACCCTCATACAACATATATTCTTTTTAAATGATTTTTAAGCCCAAAACTAAACTCCCTTTACTTACGCAGCGTGCAGTGGCGACCATTCCATCCTTGGGAGCAGACGCAGGTGCCATTTTTGCATTGGCCGTGTTCCGAGCAGCGGGCATCGCAGGGCAGTTGGTCGCACAGGTTGCCCGTCCATCCCGAATTGCAGCGGCATTTTCCGGACTCACATACACCATTCCTTCCGCAATCCAAACTGCAGACGGCTGGAGAAAAATAAATAAAAGAATATTGCATGAAATTAGCATGTGAACTGCACTCCATCACTTTAAAAATCCTTTTTGAAAAATGTAACCAGATAAAATACTTATAATATATGTACAAAAATTAGAATAGAAAATATTATTTTAAAAGGCCTTCTTTCAGTCGGAGCTCCCAGTTTTTCCATCCAATTTTCATATTTGTCCATGTGCGCATTTAAATTCATTAAAGCCTCTGTTTCCCGGGCTCTTTTCACGTAAAGTGGCTGGAGTGAAAGGCAGTCGGGTGCTGGGAGCCATAAAAACAGCATTATAAATGTTACATTTACGTGGTGGCACACTTTGCTAACAAGACCCACACCATTTCCATTTGTATTCCCCCTCGCCTTTCTTTCCTTTTCCCAGAGATGTCACTTTTCCTCGACTCGACTGAAGGATTTTCTGTGCAAATGGTCAACTGTTCTGGTTCACAAGTTGGTTCATAGGTTGGTTGTACGATTACTTCATGGATATTGATTCAGTGAACATGACTTGGTTGGCTTCATTTTTTGCTTTCAGGAACTTGAAGGATTTAGAAGAGAGTCTTAAAATTTAAGCAGGTTTTTGTGAGCTAATTTATAAGGTTTTAAGATCTCCTAGGGACATAAATATCCATTTTTTATCAAATATATTCATTTTCATTATTCTAATCAACAAAAGCTATTCAAAAATTAATTCATGTTTTATTTAAGCTTCGGCTTGCTAAAAATTTTGAATGGTAAATTTTTCATTGGTTTGGTTCGGGGATTTCTTGTTTTCCTGCTTTGGCCCCAGCTTTAATTTATGGTTTAGTTCATAATCTGGTTTTTGGGGGTTGCTTCACGACCCCATGACTTTTGTTAGCAGGCGTAAATTTATTTTATTTGCTTTTGCGAGGAGGCAAAGGGAAAGGCAGCAGAGCCAATCTGCGTATTAAATAAATAATGAATTTTTATGAGACTCTGCTTCATTACGCCGGGAGGAGTCGTCAACGTGGTCCACCGCCTCCCGTACTACAAGTATATAGGTACATCCTATATATATCCTATATAGTATGCACCCCCCAGCCGCTCACTTTCCTCCTTCTGGTGCTAAAAAGTTAAGCAAATTAGGAGTACGTGTCCTTTGGCCTTCGGTGGCATCGTAAGCCGCTTGTTTTATTGAGCTCCTGCCCCTGAATTCTCCACCGATTCTCTGCTGATTTTGCTCTCTTTCCTTTCTACCTTTCGGATGATTATGGACCCCGGCCGTGGGCCTAATTGGAAGCTCCGGCTTTATGGCTCAGCATTCCATTCTAATTTCGGGTTTAGTTGTGGCCATAAAACATCATCATATTCGCTGGAGTGGAGTGGAGTGCAGTGGAGCTCCAGTGGGAGTGGGGGGCAATATCATCTGACAGATCTCGTGAGTGATTGCCCGGCTATGTGTACCTGATTTTCCTACGGCTACTTTATGGCCCCTGCATAAAATACAGGCTTTCAGGGAAGTACGTTTACGTTGCGACGGGGTTATTGAGTCATATGGATTCCAATTTCGATAGAAATAAGAATTAAATTCTGTATTAATTTAGAAAAAATAAATTATTTACTGATAATACATTTTGGGTTCCAAGAATGCTGACCCAAAACTGCCCTTTCAGTTCTCAGAATTTTATATAACTCTGAAATTCGATTTTAGAGTGTGTTTTATTCCCTAAATGATGTTTAGATATTAGCTAAATTTCAGTGTTTCCAAAAATGGTGACCCCAGACTTTATTCACAGACCTTATAACTTGACAGTTTGGTCTCCGCTACCTCTACAAATTTATGTTTTGTTTATTTTTAAATCTGCATTACAAGTTTTAATTTTACTGGTAGTCAAAAACTTAAACCTTTTAAATATTTCCGAAAATGGTGACCTAAAACTGCACTTACAAGCCCCATAACTTGAACATTCGGGCACCGATTTAAATGCGGCGTGTCTCTAATAATTTGTAATTCCCTAAAGCATTAGTTAGGGGCAAACACTGAACATGTATAGGGGGCGGTCAGGGAGAACTCACCTTGGGAGCAGTCGGGACCCGTCCAGTGGCGCTCGCACACACATTGACCCGTCTCCAGGTCGTAGGTTCCGTGCTCGGAGCAGCCGGGCAGACACTGGTACACCTGCTGGTCGATCGTTCCGCAATCCTCGCCCTGCCATCCGGCCTTGCAGTAGCATTGTCCGGCGACACAGGTGCCGTGACCGGAGCACAGGGGATCCAGGCAGTCGTCTTCGCATCCATCATCATCATCAGCAGCATCATCATCGTCAGCGGTTGTGGGTGTGGGTGGTGATGGTGGTGGTGGTCAGAGGTCAGCGTTTGGTGGTTTGGGGAAAGAGAATACAAAACGATTGTTAGTCAGCACACAAAACACACACGCACATGGGTGGCATGGGTACAGTGGGGAATGGCTAAGGTGGAGGGTGTAAAGGCATCTTCTAAGAACTCAAGCTGGCAACCCGCTGAGTTTTGTAATTCGTTTTTGGCTTAGGAAAATTCTTGTCAATCGGATACATTTTTATTTTACTTTATAATAAATCCTTTAAGTGTTTAATATTTCTTATTTAATTTTGAAAAATATTTTTTTTAATATCTCTTTAGTAATATTTCTTTATATTTTCCCTACGAGTTTTCACTGTATTTAGGGAAGCGAAAAAAAAGAGTTCAGGGGCAGAAAAAGCGGAAATATATATATTTGGTGGGGCAGTGAAATCGTGACAGTCGTGGCTAAACAAAAAGCTTTCCGCCATGAAGGTCTCCCTCCTCTATTTTCTATCTCTTTCTAGGTGCCTCCCTCACGCTTCCTCCCTCTCACACAAATACACACACACATGACATGATTAGTATGTTAGACACGTACAAAAGTGGTCATTAAAATGAAATTCCAGTTTAGTTCAAGTTGGTAATTTTGCGCAGTTGTTGCAATTTTTCTTTTGGCCCGCTTTGTTTTGCTTCTGTTTATTTTCCTTTTTTTCTGTTGGCTTTTGGCCATGCTTTTCCGCCCGTCCCGCCCACTTTTCCTGTGGCCTGCTGATATTTTACTTTTCGTGTTTTCCTGCATGTGTATGAGGAATATGCTCTCAACATATAAATTCGATTTTATACGTTTTATGTTTGCTCAACGTTTTTTTTTCCGTTTTTTCCCCTGTGTCTTGGTTTTATTTTTTGTCCTGTTTCTGTTTCGGATTCTGTTTGTTGTTTGTCCCTGTTTGTTTTCGTATGCCAAGAGTCCGATGCTCAAACACACACACAGGAGGCACATTCCCTGTATTGTTGCATGTTGCATGTTTTATAAGCCATTTTAACCTCAATTCTTACAGTGGGGCATATTGTTTTTTATAAAATTTAAAATTAAGATCACAAAATTATCAAATATTATAAATTGAGAACTATTTCCACTACTCTGTTTAAAAAATTCCCTAAAAAAGTAATAAATAAAATAATAAATAAGTGATAAGTGATATATATTTTCTACAGGCCAATAATAAATTAGCTAATACAAATTTCCCACATGAATAGCCTTTAGAATGTAATTTTCCCACCTAAAATTTTCCCAAAGGGTGTTTTCAACGAAAAACATTTATTTTTGGCCGCATTTTCCTTTTTGTTTTTCGCTGCGAATTATTTAACAATCCGTTGTTTTTACAGCTCTTGACTGGCTGAACTCCTCAGCGCCATTTTCCCTTTAAAATTCGCCTCCATTTTCGCTGGCTGCTTTTAGGCTAATTCAAAGTTATCTGAGTCGCGGCCAGAGGGATAAAAATAGAAGAGAAAAAACGTCGGAAGGGAAAAATTGTTGGCATTTCTTTGTCGTTCGCTTTGTCAATTTAAGGCCCACACACACACAAAAAGCGAGGACAGAATTTTTTGGCAGCCGAAGGAGGGGAGAAGGTGTCGTCGGCATAATAACTGAAATATTTTGGCATCCACTTGGGGCCGCCCTCTCCGCCCACTTGTCCTTGTCCGCCGGCCTTATCGGCCAGTGTCAACATGGCCCGGAACGGAACGGAACCGAGGAGCTGGCTCCGAATTGCAAACAAGGCAAATAAATAATTTTAGCATTTTTATGCCAAGTCAGCAAAAAGCTCAAACACACACTCACACGCCAAGAAAAAAGATGTCCTGTTTTTTCGTTGTCTACCTTTAGTTTTAAAGTTTTCACAGGGACAGCTCATTTTTCACAAATTGCTTAAATTTCGAATATTTTTGAATGGTTTAGAAAAATTCTAAAAATTTGTTAAAGGTTATTTGGATGATAATTTTGATGTCTGCATAAAATATATTTCTTTAAATTATTATTTATTTTTGTCTACCTAACAGCTAATCTTTCTAATTTTTTTAAGTTCTTGACTATTTTTGACTGGTTTAGAAAACACTCAACAATTTTAAAAGGTATTTTAAAAGAACAATTTTGATGTCTTCATATAATATAATATTTCTTGAAATTATTTTTAAACCAGTTTTACAGGGAGTAATTTTATAAATTGGTCTAAAAAGACTTAAATTCCCCATCTATTATTTGGCATATCTATTATTTTCTTTAGCCTGGGATTAATTTTTTAGAGTGCACAGGGGAGAGTCCTTGACACTTACGTTGATCGCAGTAGGGTCCTTTCCAGCCGCGCTCGCAGTGGCACTCGCCCTCGATGCAGCGTCCGTGGCTGGAGCAGTTGGGCACCTCGCACTCGCCCACCGGAATGTCGCACTCGGCGCCCTTCCAGCCCTCCTCGCAGTGGCACACTCCTCCGCCGTAGTGTCCATGTGCCGAGCACAAGACCGGACAGACGCCTGAAAAAGACGATGGGGAGAATGGAGAATGAGAATGGGTATGGGAACAGAGGTGAAAAATAAATTCGACTGGGAAAATCTGCCCCGTGTACAGTGGGTCAAGGATTCTGATCCTACAAAACCGAAATCTAAATATTTCCTAAATAAATGATTTAATTTTCTAAATACCAGAACATTTTTAATGAGCCCTATGAACACATCAATCAATCAGGAAAATATGTAAGATGCTATAGTTATTTAGTTATTTATACTATGGTTACCTACTATTAAATATTATTTTAAATTTTTATTCAAGAAATAGAAAACAATAATATTTTAGTTTATAGATTTATTTGTACTATGGTTAGTATTAAATGTTATGTTAAATTTGTTTTCAAGATAGCTTTCATATTTTTGAAAACAGTAATATTTTATTTTTATAGATTTTTGCAATTGTTTACTTTTTATTAAATACTTGCCTAAAAAATTCTTGATTTGCTTTCATGAAATATTAAAATTGAATACAATTAGAACCCTTTTCAAGTACTTTTTTGAAACCCTAAACTGCTGAATCTTTCCCAAATGATTTAGCACTTACTCTTGGAGCAATCCACGCCCTGGTAGCCATCGATGCAGTCGCACTTGCCCAGGTAGCAGCTTCCCCGGCCGGAGCAGTCGTTGGGACAGGTGGTGCTGACGCCCTCGGCCTCCTCGGCCAGCAGGGAGACGGAGTGGGCCACGAGCTCATCGTTGTAGACGGAGATGAACCACAGGCCGGTGTCCAAGTACTGCAGCAGCGAGACATTCACCGTCATGGCGTCGACATCCAGAGCGGGCAGCCCGTCGCCGGCGGACCTCTTGTTCAGCCAGTGGCTCTGCGGCTTGCCGATCCGCTGCAGGTGCTGCTTGGCCGTGTCCAGCGGTGTCTCCACGTCGTACGACTCGCTCGAGTCGAAGCTCCGGCTCTCGTCCTGTTCCGAATCCTGATCCGACTCCACGCTCTTGTCCTGCTCCTGCTGATTCTCCTGCTGCTGGCGATACAGCTCCACATCCTGGGTGTGGGTGCCATTGGAGCCGCTGCCGCTGCTGCTGCGCCGGTGCCTCAGGTGGCTGTCCAGCCGCCCGCCCTTGATGAACTCCACGAAGTCGTGCTGCGTCACCGAGGGCGCCACATTGCGGCGCGAGTAGACGGCGAAGTGGGCGCCCCAGGGCAGCGTGAAGTTGAAGCGGATGAAGGCGGGATGCTTGTTGCGGAATTCGAGGGTCCAGAACTGGTAGGCGGGTATGGTGGCGTGATAGGCCTCGTTGAACTCCTTCAGCTCCACCACGCCGCCCAGTTGGGGCTGCAGCGCCTGATGGTGGTGTCCGTTCATCCCGCCGCCCGGCTGCTGCATCAGCTGGCCGCCCAGTCCCAGGCCCCCACCGTTGAGTCCAAGTCCGCCGTAGGTCAGCTGGTGGTGATCCTGCAGCTGGGTGTTGGTCGCGTCCAGCGGGGTCAGCGGCTGGTTGATCGAGTGCGGCTGCTGTTGCTGCAGGAGCAGCTGCTGCTGGATGCCCGAGTTGCCCCCGCCGCCGCCCCCTCCGCCGCCTCCTCCTCCGCCCGCCGAGGGATTCATCTGGCCGTGGTCCGAGGTGCTCGTCTGGATCGATTCCTCCGTGGGAAAGGCCGTGGCCACGCCCTTCTCGTTCGCCTTGGCCAAGCCGCCGCGCAGATCGTGGGGCTGCGACTTGACGTCCTGGACTAGGATGCAGTTGGTGCTGTCCATGTTCGGCTTCATCGAGCTGACTGCTGCAAGGGGAGAGGGGGAGAAAATTACGCAGTTAGTAAAGGGGATTCACATTTCACAATAAAGTTTACAGGAAAGTGTGCCGATCGATCACCTCAAGATCAATAAACTCGATCGATCGATAACTTATGTTAAGCTAACATTAAGCTAACAGAAGCTTTAAGCAATCTCACTGTTAAGTGTGCCGATCGATCACCTCAAGATCGATAAACTCACGATAACTTATGCTAAGCTAATATTAAGCTAACAGAAGCTTTAAGCAATCTCACTGTTAAGCAATGTACATACAATCTGAATGTACATTCCTTTTAATACATCTATAAATCTAGGCTATATAAGAGATTTTAATTAAAACCTCCATTTATGAATAAATCCATGTCATATTTATTATATTTTAAAGTTTTCCAATAACACCTTCTTTAGGTCTTAAACTTTTTGTATTGTATTTCTATCCTACTCTCAAGTTTCCTATATTTTTCATTAAATTAATCACACTTTTCAGACACTTTGGTTTTTAGCCATCTTATCTGCAATTTAAGTCCCGATTAGAGGACACCGCCTGCTCGGAATACAGAATACAGAATACGGAATACCCAGGCTATATCCTTCTGTTTCAGCTTTGCCTCTTGGCTGGATTTTCGATTCGGCTTGGCCAAATGTGCGCCCATAAATCGACAGACAGAGAGGGCCATACCCGGGCAGTGGGAGATAGAGGGAGAGGGAGATGGAAGGGAGATGCCCACAGTGCTGGCCATAAATCTGGTCCTCATGCTGCCATTCTGGCCAAGAGAATCGCAATAATGTCTTCTGTGGTGCTGTAGTTGGTGGCTTCAGCTGCTGCACCGCCCTGTTTTTCACACATAAATTTTGGCATCATATTTTAACGCCATATTAATATGCACACGAGTATAAATCAAAAACTACCCCCACCCCCTCTTTGACCCCTTGAACCCCCTCACACACACGCATCACACACGAACACAGGGACACAAAGTGGCCGTTGTTAACACGTTTGCATTTTGCTACTGGAAACCGTTGACGGAGGGGGGGGACCTCATGGCTATCGTTTATCGATAACTACGACCGGCGATTTATGGCCATTGGCAGTGGGAATGCGGCGCCAGCAGGTCCTGGCCACCAGGACATCGAGGAAAGAGGGCAGGCGAATGATTGAAGGACTCGCCGGAGCTCAGAGCTCCGGCCAACAGGGGTTAAACAAGTTGGGCGGCCAAGGGTTAAGATCCGTCAGTGGGAATACTTTAATATTAATAAAGAATATGGTAAACGATATATTTAGGGAGTTTTAACAATACAATACTGGGAATTTTTTTGAAAGGCATCTAAAAGTAGGCAACACTATGTTTATTCCGAGCAAATTCGGAATTATTTTTCGCTGCATACTTTTAGGCACCTTTATAAGAGATTTAAAGTACATGAACTCTCATCTTTTTTAAAAGCTTTTTAATAATCTTTTTCCGAAGGGTCAAATCATCTCACATTAGACCAGCAACATTCCAAAGACCCAAAAGTCCCGTGCGGGCAATTAACCTTCCTCCCCCTTCATATCGATCGAAATTATGTTAATGGGGCATATTATATAGATGCTATATATAGAGCGTGTGTACAGACAGTGCGACTGGCGCAAAAACAAACATTTGTGGACAAGGAACGTGCGGATCATAAATGTATGAGAAATGGGTATTGCGTCGTGGCCTTTTGTTATTCTTAGTCCAATTTCGATTCCGGACACTTGACAGGACACAAAACATTCCGTTGACATGTAAACTAATGCCCACACACACCCACAAGCACAGAGCCCCCAATTTCGGGGTAAAATAAAGAAATAAAACGGGCCAGAAAGGAGCAAATAAATATGGCGAGTATCATTAATAAATTAAGAGCTCGGCCCAGTTGGTTCTATTAAGTTAACAAGCTTTTCATTCAAGTGTCCTGTCACCCCCATCCCCAACCTCAAGCCCTCCCCAAAGCAACCCAGGGTTGGGTTTCCTTCCACTCGATTCCATTCGATTCGATTCGGGTTTCCTTTTCTTCCCGTTGTTTTCTGGGCACCAATTAAATTTGATTACAATTTGTTGCCCCATCCCATCCCCAAAATAAAAACATCCATTACCACCCCCCCGTTTTACTCCCGCTAATGGTTATTTAGTTAGTTTTTATTCCTCAAGTGGAAGCCAAGAGAATGTATAGATTTTTAGCTATATCTTAGGGGTGCTAATATAAAGCTATATATGTAAAGCTAATATAAATTATAACTAAATGGAGACAATAAAAATGTAATATTTACAGAAATATAATTAGGTGTCTAAAAGTATGCAACAATATATTTGTAGTCCAAGAGAGATGAATTCATACAGAAAGACGACTACCGCTTATTCACTGCACACTCTTGGGCACATATTTTGCGTTTTTAAAAGTGATTTCAAAAACTTGGCTATAAAATAGTTGAAATAATCAAAAATTAATTAATTTTTCCCCGTTCACCTTTATGTTCAATGCACATCATTAGCGTGACACATGCCTCCTCGCATTTCCCTCATTTTCCTCCCGCCCTCTCCCTCTGTAATATTTTTTTTATAGCATTTTCCTATGTGGGCGGCGGGCCACTCCTTGGGCTTTATTTTTAGACCCACTCGAGAGTTCTGCTCCAGTTGCTGGCTCAAAGGGTGTGCAACGGATGTGTTCGATTAATTATTTCCGCCCCTCGCCCTCGGGAAGTGGGCAATAAACTTTAGAAGCTCTCCTCTCCGCTTTCGAATCCTGAATGCCATGAATAAAAGAGTTCTCCTTCGCCTAATGAGACACATCGTCAGGCTTTTTGGCCAGGACTAGGACTAATTGCTCCTGCCGGGTCTGAAGAAAACTAGAACTAAACTGGAGAGCTGGAGAATGGTAGAACGGTAGAACTAGGGCCATCATCCGAAAAGCTCTACGTCCAAGCGTCCAGTGTCAGGGTCAGGCAAAAGTTACAAACGGCTGGGAAATTTATGAAACATTTTCTTAATTGCACTTCCTTGAGGAAAATAATTTATTTAAACGACATGCGCACACCTTTTTCGGTTTGGGTTCGGGTTTTTCGGGGAGAAAGGCGGTGGAGAAAGCTGGAGAAAGGAGCACGCCCTGCGGCCATTACAGCTGAAAGTGACAAATGTCCTTTTGTGTGCGCCTCTGTGCGTTTTATGTAATTTAAATTGAAATGTCTTTCGATATATGTGCTGCTATCCTGAGTGTGTGTGTGTGTTTCCGGTTTTTGAGCCAGCGATTTTAGGCAAATTGTTTGCGGCCTACGAATTAATTGAAACCAGCTTGTTTTTCTCTGTTTTTCACTGTTTTCCTCTGTTTTCCCACCAACATTCTTCAGAGTTTTCCTCTGCTAATTGACTTTCTTTGTTGCGGTTGTGCGTGACGTTCGCATTTCCGGATGATTGGCCAGCCACGCCCCCTCCTACGCCCCCCTTGCGCCCACGCCCATGTTTTTGCAGCCCTAAAAAGGAAACACGAAATGCGAGCAGCACAGGACAATTTCCGAGTGCTTTGCATAATTCTTTAGGCGCAAAAGGAAACCGCAGAAAAATGAACAATTCCATTCACTAATTGGCAGCTCGGTACAGTGAAGCCCCCTATCGATTGAACGATTGAGCGATTGTTGTGCATTTGACAGGTCGCATTGCGGTCGTTTGTCTATGGCGAAATTGAAAAATAGCCCAGGCCAAAAGTCAATTACCGAGGAGGAAGGAAGTCATGGGAGTTCTTATGTTTTCGTAAGACTTTTGTATTTAATTATTTATTTAAGAAGTTTTATAAATATATAAAAAATCTCTTGGGTTTTACAATCACTTAAAAGGTGCCTAAAAGTATGCAACACAAAAAACTTCATATTTTGTTGCATACATTTGAGAGCCTTTTTTAATGATTTCAGGGATCTCCACTAAAATATTTATTGATTACCCCCTAAACATCTACAAAGCCAATCCATCGCAATTAACCCTCTCGGCTACTTAAGTGCAACTCGGTAATTAAGCTCCAACTCGGTTAGTTACCTTTCGAGCGGCTAAGACGACTTCCTAGTGGCCATAATAATAACAGCTGGCATAATCGGCTTACAGTTGGCTAGGAACACGCCTGGATGGTATATCCCCTGGAAGTATGCATTCCCCCACTTGCATTCGAGGGGAAAATGTGGGCGTGGCTGGGAAAACCGCAACAGAGGCAGAACGAGAGCCAAAGGCAGCAACAAATTAAATTTCCAGCAAACCGCAACGCAAAGTGAAATGAAAATAAAATCGCATAAACTACAAGGCCAGCTGCTGTAAATGACAACGCCGATAAGATGTTAAAGGGGGTCAGTTGTTGGGTTTTTCCAGGCCAGGACAGCCGGGAAAATATAGAGCGGGATGGCAAATAAAAGCCCCATGGGGTCATTGCAGCAGCTCTGTAGCTCTATAGCCATACTATACAGTACAGTAAGTGCAAAGGCAAAAGCAAAAGCAAGGCAAAGGCAGCAAGGCATGCAACCACACAGCTGGTGGTGCAGTGACGTAGCCAGGAAAATTTCCAAGGGGGGTGCGAAGCATTGGAGCACTGGAGTTTCAACACAGATGAATGCACGAACGCACTTGGCCAGTTGGCATGGCCAAAAGGCACAGGGAGAAATAAACGAAGGTCTTTGAAAAACATAAAAACCAATTAGAGACTCTAATAATAATTATTTGAAAAATTCAAAGAGAAAAAAGCTATTATTATTTCATTATTTATTTATTTTTCCAAATTATTTAGTTATTGTATATTTATTTTTATAATATATTCAATTTTCTAGCCGTGTATTCTTTGGGGGCACAAAGGGGGTGTGGCCGGCCTCCATCTGGCTGTGAAACAGTGCATATCGAATGAGTTTCCGATAGTTATCCGCTTAAAAATCGATTAACCTATTTCCGATAACTACTGCAATGCGCATCCTGAAAAGGTCCAGCTGCCAGTCAAGCATATTAACTGCTGTCTGTCTGACTTTCTTTCTCTTTCGCACCACCTCTAGCCGTACTGCTCTGTTGCTGCTGCTTCTGCTGCTGCTTTTGTTGTGATAGAAAGTGGCACATTTGTAAATCGCTGGGCAAACATTTATGCAACTTTATGGGTGGTGAATGTGAATGTGGATGCTGCTGCGGTTGCACTTGTCGCTCCGCAGTCACCGCTCTTCTTCCCTCTCTCTCTCTCATGCCCCAGTCTTTCGTCTCACTCGCACTCTGCTGACATTGCGGTCGATTATCGGGACAGATATGACAGCTGCATGCAGATCGCTATAAGGATGTGCTGTGCATCATACGCAAATGTGCACATGTGGATTTTAAGCTGTCAGTCGACATCACTCTTCACAGCGAAAACTGCAGAAAATTGGGCAATTCCCAAGGATAATAACGCACTCATCACAAGTCGATAATTAATTAAAGGATTAATTAAAGCTCTAGATTATTTGATGGGTAACTATTTTACAAAAACTGAAAGCTACTTTAGGAAAATAATTATGTTAGTAATAGCTTGCCATTTCTCGACTTTGAAGTGTTTATCCTTCAAAACATCTGTATTATCGAAGCGATGTTGTGAACATATCGAAAATATCGATAATTTTCAAGCTCTTTAAGCAAACACACACATCTTCCACTGCGCTGCCCTCATAAGTAGGCAACGAAAAGCACTCGTTTTATTTTCACAGTTTTCTGTGTTAATTTGGTCGAAGCCTGGGAATCTCCCATCATCATTTGGGCGATTGTTTGTCTAGGGTGGGTTCAAGGGGAGGGGTCGTGGCAAAATGGAGACAGTATGTAAATCAAATTAAAGAGAACAACTCGTGAGGCTGACAAGACAAACAAGCAAAAGCAGCAGCCTGTCTGCCTGTTAATTAACTGACAATGGGCCTCACATATTTGTATATAATTATACAGAGTTTCCTGGCTCACACACAAGTATACATATATATACATTTTTAAATACCCAAACAGCTGGCGCTCCTCCAACCGCAAGTGCTGGCTAATTTTATGGCGAAATGAAAACCTTAATTAATAGAAAATTATTAAGCAAACACAGGAGGGCGAAAAGTTGGACTACAACCGAAATATATATGTGTGTGTGTGTATAAAAATGGGCTAAATTAATTTCTGGTTCACCTGTTCCCCACAGTCCACAGTCTGTATCTTAACCCCACAGTTCCTAAAACTATTCAGCCATAAAACGACCCCCAAGCACACACAAATACACAAAAAGATACCGTGAAAATACAGAGGAAAAGCGTAAATTCATTTGCCACACACACTGAACAAAAAGCTCTTTACACAAATGAGTTTATGGCGGTTAAATGAGAGAGGGGGCGCCACAAAAATTAATACATTATTTTTAAAAGATAAATTTCAAGCATGTGCCGCTGCTTCTGCTTCTGCTGGCTGCCAACAATTAAATCAGTGAAATCCACACGCAGCACCCCAAAAATGCCACCCCCAATCCACAAAATGTTCACAACTTTTCAACTTAAATTCATTTTGTGCCAAAAAGCGACGGCGAGGGTTCCAGGGGCGCCGATTGAGAGGGGGCTAAGGGGGCTGCCATGTGCCAAGTGGCATCACATATATATTTTCCCGTGGTTTGTTGTAAATTTGTTTTCGTTCACTTGCAATCCTGTGACACCGCAGCCCCATCGACAACAAAAGCAAAAACAGCGGCAGCACCCCCCTTTACCCCACCCCTGTAAGCCGCCCAACCACCCACCAAACAAGCCGCAGCTTTTAGCCAACTGTAAATCAGTGCCGCCTTCTCTCGAGCAGCTGCTGCTGCTTCTTCTGCGTAGATAATAAATTAAACGCAGGGAGAAAGTGAGAAAAGAGAGGGAGAAAGCAGTGGAAAGAGGGGGAAAATATAAAGAGAAATGTGTGGCTTGAAAAGCACCCGTAAAAAGAAAAAAAGTTAGATAAAAACAAATAAATTGCATTAAAATAAAATATATATGGCATTAAACTATAATTTTTCAAACGAATGAATTGTAACAAAATCTCATTATATTTAAACTATAAGCTTAAGTTCAAAATAAATTAGAATACAATATTATAAATTATTTTCTTTCAATTTTTTCAGACGAATAAATTACTAAAAACTGAAAACTAAGCCACATAAATGTTCTACTTCGATTTGTGAATAACAATCATTGCGCGCTTTCCGGCCAACTTGTTTACCTGCAAAACGTCAGGGAAAACAACGCAAATCACTCACCGAAAACCCCAAGCAAATTTCAGCAGACGAAAGAAAGCCTTTCTTTCTCTGAGAAGTTCAGCCACATAAATTTGAATGCCTTCGCGTAAGATTTATCAAAAAACAGAAAAAACATTTGGCAGTTGGAAAAGGGAGTAGGGAGTAGGGAAAAGGGGGTTCCAAAAGTGAGAAGAACCTGGCAGCCCAGATGTCGACGCACAGACGCTAAAAGTGTCCAAAAAGTTGTGCCAATGTTTCACTAGATAAAATGCCGGGGCACAGAGGCCACCGCAGGAAAATTTCCAGGGGGGGTGGAGAAAGGAAGAATGGAGTAAGGGGGGCCTTTTTGAGGTGGCTGAAGGAGGCGTCGTCATCGTCGCCATTGCCGTCAACGGTTGGCGAGAGGGCTGACTGCCTGCCTGCCAACCGTCAACCCTTTTGTTTCAAATTAAAATTTACATATTTTAATGTGCAAAGTTTTTGCCAGGGCAAAACAACAGCAAATAAACGGACAGACAGGCAGGGGCGTGGGGTTTAGGGGGGCTGTTAAGGGGGAAAGCCAAGGGTTCGCCAGAGCAGAAAAGAGAAATGGACAAAAAGAATTAAATTGACCTGTAAATATAATTTGGAAGGCAGCAGGGATGGCACAAAACGTGTTTAATTATCAAGTTGTAAACAAAAAAGCAGCAGGAAAAACAGGAACATGGGGCGGAAAGGGGGGAGAAAAGTGCAACTGGCGAAAAAGGGAAAACATTAAAAAGCCATTTTAATATCTGTTACCAATTCAGGTGAGATGTGGAAAGCAGGAAAGCATAACTTTGGCTGCAGTTTTGCCTAAAAGCCATTTAATTTTATTTCACTTTTGGGCCATTAATAAATTTATTTGTTTGTATTTAATAAATATACCAATAAATATCATTTAAAGGAATATTAACTGTTTGTTGTGCTAAGGTTAGGTCGTTAAATCAAACCAAGAAAACAAACAATAGTTAATTCGATTTCAGGGGCTTCCCAGTGACATCGTCATCGTCTTCGTCATGGGTTGTCAATCGATCTGGCGGTTTTTCTCGGATGCCATCGAACTTCGACCTCGGATGCGAGGGATGCGGTTTCTAATTGCTTGTCAATTGTGCAGGATTCTCAGCCAACAGTTGGCACATTTATCAATTAACATTTTGAGGCGGGCCCAGGAATATATACACATCAGGTGGATACACAGAGCCAAAAGTATTTAAAAGCCCAAGTATTTGAGTTCTTAATATTGTACATTGAAATTTTTGGAATGAATTGCATTAATAACTATTTAATAAATCAAGCTGGAATTCATAACAAATATTCTGCTTAGTCATCGTTAGACGTCGGATTTTAAGTAAAATCTTTTTTTTTTCAAAACCGAATTTCAGCTCCTTTTGGTTACAATATTTTTTTTGAAAAACCGAAATTACATTAAATTCAAATCTAATTTTGATTTGTTGTAAACATTTTTGAACCCACTAAAAGTGGCTGAAAATTCATCCCTAACTATTTATTTTCCCAGTGTATTTGCCCATATATGTATGCATGTGTTTGCCTAGGCCAACGCTCTGTGTTTCGATGTTTCTTAGCCTGGCGATGTGTGTGTGTGTTAGTTAACACCATTTAACGCTAATGTAATGCAAACACTTTGATGTATTTGCCTTGTTATAGCTTGTTTGTAGTTTGCACTTATGTATACACTGAGCGAATATTTGCCAAGGTATGCGAATACGTGCGTGTGTATTTTGTCTTGTGTATTTTTCATTAACCGTGTTGGCATTATGACAATGTCCAAATGTTTTTAGCCGGAAGTTCTTACCTGCAAAGTATGCCAACATGGCGGTTAGGACGACGGATACGAATATTAAGGCGATGCTCAGGCATTTCCAGGAACATCGGTGCTGACAGCGTTTATCTATGTGAAACCTGCAAGAGAGTACACAAGGAGAAAAAAGGAAAAATGAGTATGATGGTGATGGGAGATAGCAGCGTTAAGCAAACTGAGCAATGCATTTGTAATTAACAAAGGGGACGGGAACGACCGCAAGACAGGAATAAAGCCACTCGCCTCCGTTCGCCTCCATCGCCTCCATGTCCATGTCCTGTCCCCCACATATCCCGTACTCTGTCCTGTGGCTTTAGACGCTTGACATATCACAAGGACCACAGAAAACAGCCAACCAAACAAACACGTTTCGCATGGAGCAAGGAAAATCAAGGAAGAACACGGAGAAAAAGTACCATAGCTTTCGGGTATAATCTATATAATATAATCTATCTATCTCATACATGATTAGTGTGGCCATGTTCCTTTACAAAGCATAGTGTAACCATGTGCATGGCAGAAACTGCAGTGTGACCATGCAGTCAACAGCTCATACGATACAAATTGTAAAATTTATATTTAGTTAGTTGAGAACTATATGAAAACAAAATTGTAATATTTTTTCTCCCTGCCAAAAAACGCAGAGTTAGTACGCCAATGAGTTTGTCAACTGCTGGCAACAGCTGGCAACTTTTTTAATAAAGCTCCCGACCGAAAACGAAAAGGCAACGCATGCAAAATGATGCACAAGACTGAGGACAAAGACCACTGCTCACTGCTCCCTTCTCACTGCTCCCTTCTCCCATTTCTCGCCCCAAAAAAAGGGTGTTAATCACACATACAGCCAACAAGTCTAAGCCGCCGCAGGCAGAGCTGTCAAGTCTTTCGGCGTGGTCGCCTCTAATTGCGTAAAAGTTGAACGAAACGAAACGCTGACGAAGGGAGTTACGAAATTTTTAGGGGGCAGCAGCAACGGCAAAGGGGGCGTGGTCCCAGCTTAAAGGGAATTAACAATTCTTGAGTTGGCAACTTTCGAAAGTTGCCCAGAATTGGGTTAGACTCGAAAGTGTCCGAGTCAGGCCTTCCCTTCAAAGGTGATTCAACCCGGCGAGGGAGCAGAACAGAAAACAACAGGGAAAAGAGTGGAAAATCCCTGGGGGGAAAATTCCTTAAGGAGTTAGGAGGCACTAACTAGGGAGCTCTGAACTGCGAAGAAGTTTCTGCTACACTTTGACTTGCCAACTAAGCAAAGTCTTTAAGGTAAGCAACTCACATTCATGCGGGATATTTAATATATTTATTTTAAAGATATAATTTAATTCAGAAACTTTTAGGAAATACTGAAATTTCTTAAAAATTTATTTTGATTACCAAATGACCATTACAATAATTTTAAAACCGAATGTTATTTCTATACTGGTTACGATCCTTAGGCTGGATCCCCGGATCCCGAAGGCCAGACCACCGAGATCTCCGCCGAGTGCTCCACAATCTGATGCAGCTTCTGCCGCATCTCGTGGCAGATGTTCAATGGCCACCAGCAGCTGACCAGCTGGCGGAGATCCTTCGAAGGAGATCCGTTGAAGGACTGGAAACTCTGGCAACTTCGGGATCTCTTAGTCCTGATGAAGTCGCCACTGGGATTGGAGGAATCGGACTCAGATTCGGATTCGGAATGGGAAGTGAAAGTGGAATGGGAGGATTCGAGGGACTGCCGATTTGGGCTGGCCACCACCACATGGACTTGCTGCTGCTGGTGGCGATGGCGATGCCATTTCGGTAGGCGACCACGAGTCCTGGAGCCTGCGTCTGGGCCATCCTGTGTATCCTGTGTCTCCCGCAGCCAGTGCGCACTGTACACCTTGTGGGCCATGCTCAGGGTTCCGATTATCCCCATTATGCTATTTCGATTTCCCAACAAACGCAAAAACGACTTTCCAGTCCCGTCAATTTTGATAGAGTAAAAGTGGGGTCAAAGTTTGGCAGGAATGTCAGTGGTTTCTAAGCCAAACACCTAAACTACTTCAAAAGAAGTATTGAAAATAGAGATTTTACAGGAATTATTATTAATTATAATCCCTTAAATATCCCATATTAAGTTATTTAATTTTGGGATAATTTTTGGCTTAATATTTTATAATAATTTCCATAAAATCTCTATTTTTATTCATTTTATTTATTTAATGTGAAAAAATCCCCAAAAAATGACGTAGATATCCCAGTTAACCGGGCAAGCAAAAAATAACACCGGCCTCCTCTTGAACGAAATCAGTTGACTGGAAAGTCATATCCACTGCACCCCCACTTCGCAGTCAATTTAACGCTCATTCACTCGAAGAGTGTTCACTGTGACCCCGGGGCCAAAAGGGGCAAGATATATGTACAGTTACACCTATGTATATATTTTTTTTGTTTTTCAGGGGCCATATGAACACTCACCTGGATGGCGAATATGGCGAATAATGTGGTGCATGCGCTGAGTGGGAATTACGCAACGGGAATCCGGGCATGACCAGTGGCTGTGAGCCGCTTATCTGGCAATTGCCACCGTTACCGCTCCCGGGCGGTCCGACGCCCACGCCCTGGGGTCCTCCGGGTCCTCCGACGCCCACCTGGCCGCCGCCGCCCACGCCGCCGGGCATCGTGCCGGCGCCCATTGGCAGTCCGACGCCGCCGCGATCGATGCCTCCATGGCCGATTGTGTTGCTGCCAGTTGACATACTCTGCGGCATCTGCTGTGGGTGGCCACCCAGTCTGGAAAATACGGGGAAAAGATGGAAAATTTGGTTAGCGAGTGACTCTTTAGTATTTTGGGATGCACTTAAACGGAAAGCTAAAATATTATGATGATTTTTCCCTTCCTCAGCTTTAGTTTTCTTGTTATGAACTTTTAACTAGACTATTCAGTTGAGAGATTTTAAAAAATATTTAAGAAAATGTAAAATAAAATTATAATACTTAACTTTGTAATAAATCTGCACCAAATTTATTAAATAAATATTTTGTAAACTTCCTAAAAGTTTGGTTTATGAACTGCAAAATAATTTTTAAATTTGTGCCACTTTGCAAAGCTTTTCTTCCTGTGCACTTTGGCTTGTAATGCGGAAATTAAAACATGTGCAAAAGTTTTCGCTCCACATTGGCCTCTCGCTTCTTGCTTTTCACATTTCGCCTCTCGTTTGGCGATGTTACAATATTTAAATCGCATCCTCGCGAACGGACAAAGGCTCATTGTTGTTGCCTCGGCCCGCTGTTATTGTTATTATTATTTTTAACAGTTAAGTGATGCGGAAATTTTAAATTAAAAAACATAAATCAATGCATGTGTGCGCAACGGCGGAGGCCATTGTATGGTGAAAAAAAAACAAAAAAAAATAAAAGGAGAGTGGGAAAAAAGAGTTTCATTATCCCCGACCGGCAGTCGGGTGATTTTTGTTGCTGTTTGTGTTTTATTATCGCTCAACATTAAGCGGAAATGCAGTCGCTGCTGCCATTTCTCGATAACTGCCGCCATTGTTGGAAATTCCGCGAGCGCTTATGTGTGTGTTTCTGTTTGTGTGTGTGGCTGCCATTTTCAGGCGCCGCCCGCAAGTATGCATCAGAAATTACAACTCTTTGCCGCCCGAAAAGCTGAACTACATTTTTGTGGAAATGATAGCGATATAAAGATGGAGAGGCACTTCCAAATGATCCACATTTGCCATTATTTTTTTAGATATTTGTGTTACAATTTTATTTCCCTCTTCCTATAATGTTTGAGACATTTTATTTGAGCATTGAATTCCTGAAAGTTTATAATTGGAATGTATTTATTTCAGAATCACTTAATCTCCAAGAAAATATTATGTTTTATTAACAACGCACAGCAAAAAATTCAAAAGCTCTTAGACATGGATTAAATGTACCTACGGTTTATTTATTTTATTTTTTTCAGAAACTGAAATGCTTCTTTGATTTCAAGGATCTTGTACAATCTACTAGTATTTTCAGAAATCTAATCATTTCCAAAATTAAATTTTAAAAAGTATAATCCCAAATAAATATTCAAAGCTTTGGCAATTCAAACGCTAAAAAGGACTCAAAATATAGTACAGTCGACCTGAAAACCCAGTGGATGACGCGTTTCAACCCGCGTTTTAACCCGTTTCGAGGACCTTATCGGGGCCATGGTTATTTTTATTCGCTGGCCAACAAGCCAACAAGCCAGCAACCAACATCATTGTCATTGTACCGAGCTCATCGTCAGCTGCTGTCGCGTGCATTTGACATATCACATTTGGCCCTGTTCGTATATCTTCGTTTTGCTTTTGGCCCGCTTTGGTTTTTGGGTTTCAACGTATTTGTATTTCCTTTTTTTTCGGTTGCGGCTCTCCGCTTTGGCCGCCATTTTGGCTTTGTTATTTATGGCCATGTCAAGCGGTCGCCGGCTGGTCAAGCGTTTGCCACGCCCCCGTCCACCGCCCTCGTCCTCAGCGATTTGGCCTGCATTTGACATGCGGTTGTTGTGTGCGGGCTTCTTTTATTTTTTATTACGAATTTTTATTTTTTAATATTTTTTTCCATTGAAATTTTTGCTTTTCCTTTCCTTCTTGCCCTGTAATAATCCCAAAAATGTTCTGTGTGATATTTCATATTCAAAAATATTTGAAAAACAAAAACAAGAGAGGAGAAAACTCAAAAATCAAGCTGCAAATTTACGAGTTTTTGCCACAAAAGTTACTAGATCAGTGTAATTTATGGCGGGAAAGGGACGACGCGAATGCAAAACAGAACAATGAATGGCACCCTGGGGTCTCGGGAGTGAAAGAGATGGCCACAGTGGCCGAGAAAGAGACGGGAAGTATATGGAAAGCCGCTTACACCAGCAGGCACAAGACAAATGTGCCTCTCTCTCTGTGTGCGTGTGAGTATCTGTGTGAGTTCGGGACAGCTTAGCAAATACTAAGCCAGCCAGCGAGCAGCGCAAGCTGTGCCTGTGATTTATTAGCAACAATAATAGAATTAAACAATTTAAATTAAGTTGTAGCCAAAAACCATAAACAGTCTGCCAAGCGGCCCTGCGGGTTAGGCTCCGTCGCCCACCCACAATTTACCCCCCTCCCCCCTGGCCCACACACACACACGCAACGTTTTGTTGCCACTAAGTTTGATACCCTCGAAAGTAAGGAGAAAACTGATGACTAAGGTAAACAATCTGACAAAAATCAAAATCCGGCTAGAGGGACCAAGGAAAACTATTTTTGTTATTTGGATGTTTAGTCACGATGAACCATAATTAAATCGATTGTTTTTTTATTATAATTATTTTTTTAAATTATTATTTTTGAAAGTTGGCACTTCTACAACATTTATTTCTTCACATTTAAGAGCATAATATGATGGAAACTTCTCATATACAGAAAATGATTACCATTATGAAGTGAAAACTAATTATTCGAATATTTGTAATACATTTTATTAATTAACTGAGAACCAAAAAGTAGTAACTTCAAGTTCGTGGCGCCAAATTTGAATGTCTCGCTTGACCAGCAGGCGACAGAGCAGCGGAAGCACAGCTGGGGAAAGTTGGGAAGAGCGGTGGGGAGATTTGGGGCAAGGGGGCAGAACTTCCTCGCGCTGCTGGCGGGGCATTACAAATGCTTCCTGTGCATACATTTGGCAGCAGTTTGTGTGCGCCTTCTACCATTCCTCTGTCGCTTTTCCACTTCGTGTGTATATTGTTGCCATTATTATTGCCGTTGACCAACCACAGCAGCAGCAGTCGCCCCACTTTCGCCCCGCTTTCTCCCGCTTTCCCCGATTTTCCCCGCTTTTCCCACCCGCCTTGACACTCGACGAAAGTTGTGCACACGCAATATGGAGTGGTGCAAAAAGAGCGGACAAAAAAATGTTGCATACTTTTAAGTGCAGCGCATTTTGTAACTCAAAATGGCAGTTTGTTGTTGTGTGTGTGAGTGTGCATTTGTGTGCGCGCGTGTGCTTGATTGTTTAATTTAATTTGGATTTAAAAGCAACGCATAACAAAGATTGCTAGCAATTATTTTTTGCCCGACGCTCTTGTTATTCAATCAAATAATATTCATTTCATTTGCAATCAACAACAGCAGCAGCAGCTGCAGAAAAAGTTTTGCCTTTATTAAATTCTGTTTCGGTTTCTGTTTCTGTTTATTCCGCTTTGTGATAATAAATACTGTTTTTCTACTGTCCGCGGGGAAAACAACTGAGAGTGGGCGATATAGTTTGCGTGAAAGGGACATAAATCCAATCCGAAAAATGGGGGAAAAAATAATAGAAATGCAGTTTGGCGACAGCATTTGAGCTTGAACTGAAGGACTACTTTCTGTTTCTGTTTCCATCGTAAAAACAACAATATCTGGGTTTTATTGCACCGTATAAGGAGATTTGGTCGTATTGAATCGCCACACATTTTGGCTATATAATTTGATCCGAATTTTTGATATGCTTACAAAGTCAAATCGAATTTTTTTTCGACACCTATCAAATTAATTGGTTAGTTTTTGTTTATTTTATATCATTTTATTCCCCAATCATTTTTTTATTTTATTAAAAATGCATAAAAAATGCCTCTTCCTTTGTTTAATTGAAAACAATTTCTAACAAAAATGCACCAACTTCAATTGAGAGATTTCCCCTTGACGGAAGCGAAAAAAAAACAACAACTGTAAAATAATTTTGATAATTTCCCCTGGCTTTTCTCCCTTTTTCTAGTATTTTCAATTTTTCCTCTTTGTACATTTCCCATTGCAGTTGGTTTTTCCCTACGAAAACGATCGAGCCTCGAGGCCATTGAACATTTTGTGCGAAAGTTTTCAATGGGCCACCCATACACACACATACATTTATTGAGTGGAAGTGGAACAAAACTATGAATTTAGTTTTTCTGGCATTGTTGGGTTAAATCTGCCCCTTTAACCCTTGGCTGCCCCGTCATCGTGCGTCGTATTCGTGCCTCACAAAGCGAAAACTAACAAAAACGCCCACTAAAAACGTGATTTTCGCCAAATTTCACTCACTCCCTCACACACAGACAGAAAGTTGAAGAAGAGAAAGAGAGGGAAGGGAGGTGCAGAAAGAGATGGCAAGAGAAAGAGGAGAACCAAGATAAATCCAAACAAAATTACACGCTGTGTGTGAAGCGCTGAAAACGTGCTAGAAAAATGAAGCGCGAAATCAATAATAACACACAATAAAAAGGGACGGCATGAGCAGTGGTGCAAGAGAGAGAGAGAGAGAGAGAGCGAGCGAAAGAGACGGCAGGAAGTAGGTGAACAGAACAACAACAAACTGTGGCCAAAGGCTACGTGCAACATTTCCATCTGCAACTGCAACTGGAACTGCAACCAAATCAGAATCAGAGCAATTGCATTGTCCTGTCACGCATTCAAAAAGTGCTGAAAAATTGGCCAAGGGAAAACGCTGATTTTTCCAGCGAAAGAGTGTCGAATAATTGTTGGAAATAATGGATTCGATGTGCTTATTTTATAGCTAAGAGAAGAAACCAAATCGCAGAAAAGTACAAGCTATGTTTAAAAGAAAAAAGTAGAATTTTTTAATTTCATAAAAATAGTGATAATAATAAATAATTTTATAACGAGGCTTTTTTAATAAGAATGAATTATTTAAATTATTTTTTTTGCCAGCAATTCAATTTTTTTTTTCAAAAAAACATAACTGCTTTACCTTGAGTCATTCGTTTTGTCAACTTACTTATTTAGTTTACTTTCTCGAATTTC